GAGAGAAATTAATGCCAATATTCCTATAAAAAATATCTTTATATATCTTATTGCTGTCCCTAATTCAAGAATCAAGAGAAAGTGATTTAAGTTATGATATTCAAGTGTGTGTTCAATTTCATAATGTTATATGTTCTTAAGCTTAAAAATATCAAATTATAATCCCAACTAGCTGCAGGGTATTCTCTAGTTTTTTGTTTGTTTGTTTAATGTTGTCTTTAGCCATTAGTCGCTTTTGATTGCTTGAGTGGAACAACTTCAAGCATTCAGTACTTGAAGAAGTCAAGAACTGGAAATCTTAAGTTTGATCAGTTTTTCGCCTGATTTAGTTACTTGTATAACATTCGGTGAGTAAGCCATGTTTTGAAGCCCAAAAGTTATTTGATTATTTAAAATAAATCACAGAACTTGTAGCCTCACTTTATTTGTACGCATATAATATGAACCCCTAGGTAGCAATAAAAAATCGCAGTCAACCTTTTAAAATAGTATGCAAATAAGGCGGAATACCCTGCGAAAAATTGCCCTGCAGAGCCAAATGAAAATCGGCTACATATGCCTGTCTATATGCAAATATTACTCTTACATATGTATGCAAACATTTGGCAATTACTCGACTTTGTTGTGGGTGTTTTTGTTGTTGTTGTGCTCTGGTTGCCGCCCTGCGGCTGCGTCAGTTGTTTGCCTATTTGCAGATACAAATTCACTGCGAAGAGAGTGCAAAAAGAGTCCAATTCACATTTTTTGGGAATTTTCAATTTAAATTGTGATTAAATTTTGCACGCCCCAATGCCAAAGTCGCTGCCCTCTCTCACACACTCTATATGTAGATATATATTTATTGATATCGCGCATTATGCGCAGACTTCTGTCGAGTGTGTGTAAAATCCTGTCTAGGCTTTGTCCTATTTCCTGCGTCAAATTTTGCTCAGTTTTGCCTCGGCTGCTATTTGTCATGCAAATTTATTTTCGATTACTTGTTACCAAAGATTTGCTTCAGATTATGCAAATGTGTCAAACGTAAAACTCACACATACATACATACACGTGGGCGTGGCATTTTGAATGCGTATCGGGGCGCCTCATCGCTGCCTTACAAGTGGCTTATTACTCTTAGTGGTTGTCGTTGTCGCATAAATGCAAAAACTTTGCATATTTTCATGAACATTTTGCGGAACGATTTTCGTATATTTAGGCATAAAAAAATATGACTTGGAAAATCTATTTTCGTATTCACTGATTGTTTATCGCTCAGGCTATTGATTCCACATTGAATTGGGACTGGGCGTCCTTTATTTTGCCATTTCACACATTCGCACACAGTCCTGAGTCTATAATATAAATTTGCATAATTTGAGGTGGAGCCATTCTGAGCATTGAATGTTATTCGGAATTATACAGCCTCACTTAATAGAAAATGATTTTTATTAATATTTATAGGGGCAACATCAAAGAAAAAGTAGTTGCAGAAATTGTTTTGAAAAATTATAATAAGAAGCTTGGGACTAATGCTTGAAATTTAATTTAAGTGTTTATAAACACAAATTGTATATTGAGCAAAATAATTTTATAGAAGAAACAGTAATTAATAGTATTAAATATATAAAAGTTAATGGTCGTATGTATGTTCTCTTAACAATATCTTAGTCATATGATCCAAATTAATTTTTCTGATGTTACTTTGTTCGGCTCTGACCCCCCATTTTTGTGATATTAAAGCAATTTTAAATATAACCAAATAAATAAATTACATTTATAATTGGACACAATTCATAAAATGCAATTTGGTTTCGTGCGTCCGTCTGAAAAAAATGCATTTATTTGTATTATTATTATATATATTTATTTGTACCTGGTGTTTTGTTGTATTTTATATCTGCTGGACCGTTTTTATTAGCGGTCACCTTTGGTCACTGTCATTTTTTTTTATAAATTTTATGTGTGGTCTTTATAATTGAATAATTACATACACACGTATGCGTTGAAATTGTTGTCTGTTTTATATTTTTTGGTCTCTTTTTAACGGGCTAACTCTGTTTGTATAGCTTGTAAATCAATTCCCATTACAATGCCTCCCGTTTGGCAGCAAATAAAACAAATGACCAAAACGTTCAATAACCTTTAAAAACTGAATGAAAATCGTTTACCGGCAAATATGTTGACAGCCCGTTCAAATTATTGTCAGTGCGCGAAAATAAAAGTTGGAATTGCAGCGTAGAAATAAAAAATATAAATAAATTTTAGCTGCATTGCATTAAATGCAATTCCAGAGCCCGCAAAAATGCCAAATGTTAAATGAATTTTATTGCAATTTTTTGAATTACTAAAAATACAGTCAGACACGCAGACGGCAAATGAATGCACTGTCGAATAGTCACATACTAATTAAAAATTTTGGTGCTGCAATTAGCTGCTGACAATTACCAAAACTAATTTCAATTTACCTATACCAAGCTAAATAATAGAAAATAATTAAAGACAACATTTAAAATATCAGTTATTTAGTCACAATACTTTTTCTGTAGTTTGTGCAAGGTTTCTTCTTAAATGTTCTTTTTTTTATTTAATACGTTATGGTCGCAGAAAAATTATACTTAAAATGGGATTTTTATTTCTCTCAGAATGCCAGCCCAGCCCAGCCAACCAGCTGGCAGTAAAATTTTAAATGCATTGCCACAACAATGATTTTTTTTTAACGGACGTTCAAATTACTATGTAAATAACGCAATTAAAAAGTATCGATGCATCGCTTAATCAACATAAATTTCACATCAGAGTGACTTGTAAAATGCAAAGTTGGTTCGTTATACTTAAGTCCCGCGATGACAAAATATCGGTGCAATAAATTAAAATCAAAATTCATAACAAACAAAAGGCCAACAAGAGTATTTTGCGGTGGCTTTTATTTTTTTTTATATTTTCTTCGTTCTTATCGAGCCAGAATGCTTTACACTTTATTAAGTGACTCAGTCATAGCTTTAAGCATTTTTCTGCAATTCATGGCAAATAATTAAATGACCAAGTCCAATGCCAAAAGGAGCCGGAAACCCAGCAACAGCTAGTGGTCAAGAGCGAACAGGGAAGGTGATCGACGAATGAATATTCTTTCCGGTTCTTACTACTTATTGAATTGTTTTCTATTCAGTTTCGATTTGTTATTGCGTTATGCAAATTATAAAGTAAGCGTTGATTATCGCAAATATTCTTATTATATTTGTAATCCATAATGCTTGCACCTTTCAAAACATTGTGATTATTGAGATCAACATCGAGCTATGCTGCTACTCCCAGCTAGATAATTAAATCTATAAAGTTCAACATTAGAACAAGATTACAGCAAGGTTTATAATATTTTTCTTATAATTTTGCCTATCAATATAACATGGTATTGTTGATATATTCTGAAACGTGCTCTTCGATGTGTAATACATTAGGTAGCAATAATATTATGTCCCTTACCACCGCGCCATCACGACGAAACACATAAAATACACTTAACACACACTCAACTGAACAAATGCCGCATAATCGTTACGTAATTATTTAATTAAATTAGTCTGGAATAATGCGACTATAACTGTACTTAAATTTGCGTTCTTTAATTTTGACCTTTTTTTGGGGGGGCTTTTTGTGTGCATGAAAAATGTTTCTTGTTTTTTTTATTCATTTTCGAAATGCCATAAACAAAGGGCAAATAAGTGAAGTGAGCAGCCAGCAATGGGTCAAGTTGTGTTTTGCGGTTTTAATAGAGCCAAGTAATGCGGTTACCGCAACTGCTGTTTTTGTAGTTTTTGTATTTGTTATTGTTGTTGTTGTTGTTGTTGTTGTTACAGTAGTTGCTCTCATTGTTGCGGTTTTTGTGTACACCAAAAGGTTAAGTGGCGTATTTAAAGCAACGAATTAAATCATTATAAATCACCACGGGACAAACAAAAACACAGATATAAACGCTTGACCAGGCCAATTATTTGTGAAGAGTGGAGAGTTCAAGGTCTGGCAACGACCTCTCAAGAGGTGATCAGCCTAAAAAGTCATTACGTTCGGAGATATCTGTTAAAAATCATATAATGACTTTATGAAATTGCACTATTTCCGTTCGTTATATTCGTTGTTTAATTTCACCAACTAGATTCAACTATATAAACTGGATAAATTTCATTATTTAAATACCTTGACTGGGTCACAATACCCTTCGCAGAGATACAAATCGAGCTACACGCAGACCTATAACAATAGCTGGCTTATTCATAACAAAAAACCCGGCAACAAGAAGCTGTAGCATTAAAAATGAATAAGTTGTTGTGTTCGAAGCGCATGAGCTGTACTCAGAAATACCCTGTGCACAGTATATAAAAGCGTAGAGCCGGGGTGTCGTATTTAATTTAAAATGTTCTAATTTGAATGAATCTCCATTCCAAAAGATTCAGTACCACATTTAAAGGAAAGTTCACCTTCACATTTCAAAATTTGGTAGCTAAAAATCCTTTAGTCGCCGAGCTCAATTGAAATAATTGAAGAGCAGGTGAGAGCAATAGACACGATTTTCATTAATTTGCGCATTTTGTGATAACAGGAGAAAAATTAAATTTATTTGTTATAAATACTCTCAGTAAATTGAATCACTTAATCATTTAATCCCATACAGGGTAGCAGACGTTTCAGCAGCAATCGCAGCAATAACAACAACAACAAAATGATTTAAGAAGCAGCAACCTCTGCGCTGTTGTTGGATGTCGTCGACTTCAGGTGAAGCTTCAGCTGAGTTTGCATTTTGAAGCGGTTGCTGTTGACCTTGGGCTGCATAAATCGAATTGGAGCAGGTCGTTGCCGAAGCTGCTGCTGCCGGCGTTGTTGTTGTTGCTGCTGCTGCTGCTGCTGCTGCTGCTGCTCTGCATTAACATTTTTGCGGTTGATATCATCCTTGAGATTGCGCTTGCAATTTCGCAAGGCCTGCGCCCTTTTACAATTATAATGAGGTTTAGGTTTTTGCGGTTTCTTACCTGTTCTTAAAGTTGCGGATGTTGGTGTTGCGTTTGTTGCTGATGCAAGTTTTGCTTGTTGCTGTAGTTAAAGTTTTGCACACAAAATGTAAACAAAATGCTTGTATATGTGCACTGTGTCGTTGTTGTTGTTGTTGTTGTCGTCGTCGCTGAATAAGTTTGGCGCGTTTTGCGTTTGCAAAATCAACAAACGTAAAGAACACGTTTGCTTTTAGTTAACCTGTTTTGGCAATGCCCAAAGATTGCGATTGAGCAAAGATTGAGACAGACACACACACACACACACAATTTCACACACACATGCACATAGATACACTAATACACGTATACAAACTAGACAAACTGTGCGCATGCGAAATGTGAGCGTTGCCTGAACAGTTGTTGTTGTGTTGTTGTTGTTGCTGCTGTTCGCTGATTTTTGTGTCTTTTACTCGCACAATTAGCCAACAACTAAAGCCACAGATTAAGCCACAATGAACAACTCGTAAAGACACAAAAGTTACTTAACTTGCTTCGTTCACTGGCCAATCGACGCGTTCTAGTAACTTTCAATTTTGATCGTTTGCACCTGCCAATTTTCGTTGACGGTCGATTTTATTAAATTTGATTTGAATTTATTTTTGTTAGCCGCCTGCTTAGCGAATTCTCTCTAGCTCGTTGCTCGAAACGTTTCCGCGTGTTGTTACCAGAGCCAGCGACGAATGTAAACTGAATATCAAACCGAACGCTTATTTGCGCTGACAGATCGCCAGTTAGGCTAGAGCAGCAGCGCAGTCGAAGTCGCCGTCGCCGTCGCCGTCAGCGTCGGCATCGGCGTCGTTGTCTTAAAGTTGTCTAAACGGCCCGTCCAAAAGATCAATCTGTAAGTGGTCTACCTTATGCGGCGGCTAAACAGTCGTTTAGCTTTTGGGAAGAGTTTTATTCTCAGGTGCGCGTCACGACTAAAACAGCTGATCGAGCTTTTAGATGTGAGAGAGAGAGAGAGAGATGGGAAGAATGAGCGAGAGTAATGCTTGCTAAGCTTTGATCATTTAAGCAAGCTTTTTGCTAAAGTTCAGCACTGAGCGTCGTTGTTGATTACACTAGGCAACTATGTTGGAAATATGTTGAGGTAAAATATAGGTTTAAATATAATTTATTTGCTTCTTGATTTCATTAAATTTCATATAAAATTCGTGGGTTTTCAGGAGAAGATAATAATTAATATATCAAGACGAAAATGACGCCCACAAATTTATACTGTATTTATATTTGCGGCCGAAAGAATAATATTCTGATATTATTTATAATTTTCAATACATTAATTCTGTCTGTCTGAGCAAATGTGAGATTTGGTCGGATCGGAACATTATATCGTATAGATGATGCAGGAACGATCAGTCGAAAATATGGTTCTTAAATAAATAGCATTTCTTAAGATATTTAACCAAATTAACCACCATTAAGTATACCAATATAAAAAAATAAGTTAATCAGATTACTTTACCATACGGCTTCGATGGGAACAATCGGTCGGAAATAAAGCTTACCAAAGATAGCCGTTCTTTCCTGTTAGCAGATAATTTATCTACCATCTGTCTACTTCACCCCCGAATGCAAATTACTTATTAACTTTTTAAATCTGAAAAAAGTTAACTGCGAAATTCTGTTGTTTTGTGTAAAATATTGTATAGCGCTGTAAAATAATATTCGGCAATCAGTTGATTGGCTTGGTCCAAATAAAAATTTGCTAAAAATGCTTAGGAACATTAATCATATTATATACCGTTTTGTTGTGCTTAATGTACATCGCCTTTACATTACAAACAAAGCAGTTGTTCCCAAACAAAGATGACTTCGTGGCTGGCACATTTGATGCATTTTCCATTATTTTTACTGTACACTTGAGGCATTAGGTAACCAGGGTATTTTCTGTATTTACCTATTGTTGCTGTAGCACACTATGCCATTTATAAGGCTGCTTTGGTCAGCTTTGTTTGGGTACTTGGCGAGGCATTGCCATGTCAAAGTCAGGCAACCTCTTAGTGCCACTCCCCCAAGCTCCCACGCTGAATGTCGCTTTTATCATTGTCAAGAGTTGGCAGCCTTTTTAGGTTTTCAGGTATGCTGTAATGGCTGGGTGCGATATCTTGTCACCCACCTTGCCCATGCCGCTTGCTGCATGCCGCTTGCCCCATGCCGCATGCCCACTAGCTGGCCTCGCTTGGTCACACTGTCGAGTCACAATCACCTGACATGTGCACGTCTTTCGCTTTGGATTCGAGAAATGCTTAAATGAATTGCCGCTTTTGTAAAGATTTCTTGAAACTGCTTCTTTTGGCTGCTTGCTGCATGCCTCGTGTTGCAGCTTGCACCTTGGTGTTGCTTGACTAACAAGTTACACGTGCATGTCTTCAACAATGTCGCCATTTCAGTTTCCGCTTCCGTTTGACGTCCTTTGGATGCGCCTCTCGAGACGCAAAACATTGAGCTTGCAGCGATTCATTCCTTTTGTTGCATGTCTCTGAAATGGCAATGTTGCAGATACATTTCAAGCACACACGCACACACACAGACATGCAGTTTGAGCTGCTTAAGTGTCTACAATATATTTGTGCATCCTTTTAACCCAGATAAGGCAGCAACATTGCTCCCTTCCCTGCCCCCTGTCGCCTGCCATAGCTGGCATTCTTAGCCAGCCAAGCTTCCCGAGCTGCTGCTGCTAATGAAGTGCAGGGCATGCAGGCAGAGTGCCTTGAGCAAATGATATGACAACAAACCTCAAACCTAATGCCAGCCATGACGATTGGGTATTGCTTTCGAGTTTTCCTCTACGACTGCTTTCTTTAAGATCCACAGTTACAGATATTTTCTTGCATTTATCTCGTGTCCACTTTAGTTGCGCTTCGCTTTAGAGTGCAATTTTCAGAAATAAATTTTACCCAACGGTGCAATTTTCGTACTAACAAATTTATGTGCTCAACAATTGATTTTCCTGTTCAATTTCGACTGCTGCAGAGACGTGTTCGCCACCAAATGCAGCGCTGAACCGAACCCCGACGAACCGCAAGGTGCAAACGGTAAAAAATAATGGCCAGAAAAATGAGGAGACCTCCAATGGCTGGCAAAGGTGTCGCGGCCGAGACACTGCGCCACTTCATAAAATATGAAATTAGATTTGCAAGTGCAGCAGCAGGACAACGAGCGCACTCTAAAGGATGCGCATACATATACCTTGTTGCAGGATGAACAGAACAGACAAAAACCGGATAGAGGGTGGGCGAATTGATTGTAAGTGGGTGACGGTGCTGCAGTCAAATGGTCATGCCAGTGAGTCAGCCAAGCGACCAGCGTTGACTCAAATGGCTTGACATTCGATCAAAAGTTCGACGGAAACGGCAGCTCAAAGCAGGTTAAGCCAGCTGACCAAGCCAGTGTGGCAGCCATATACGCTTTAGGCATAATATGTATTGACAGCAATGCAACGCCTTCGAAAACTTTAACGCAGCCAGTAAAACATTTAAAAATGTTGTTAGAATAGGGAAAGAGATTAAAAATGCGACAGGTAATATACATGGGTAAGCAAAACTCTTTTATATTTACTCACTGTTTTTAACAGTGTTCGTACCCTGTAAATACAAAATAAAAAATAAAAAAATTATAATAATTGATAATGGTAATTGTTAATTAATAATAATGTCGGTACAAAATAAAATGAAGAGCAGAAATAAAATTAAGTGGTCAAAGCGCCGTAGAGATAGGCAGTGAGATAATGCGACTTGAGAGAGAGAGTTAGAGTCAGAGTGAGAAAACAGGTGGATAGGGGCAAGAAAGATAGAGAGAGAGGGAGAAATAGTGAGGCGAGGAGAAAAGAAAGGAAACAAAAACAGATGGGAAATGGAAGTAGCAAATAGATGAGTAACGAACTAATTGCAAGAGAATATATGAGTTAAATATTAATATTAGAGAATATAAGAGTTAAATGCCAGCAAAAGAGCGCATTAAAGAGTATAAAGAACCATTTAGTTTGAGAAAATAAGATCTTTGATCTCCACATAATAAAGCTTGATTAACATATGCATACACATATGATTGGAAAGTACCAAAACTGTTGCGCTGCTTACACTATGTCTGGAAATTCCATTTTTGGCCAAACTACCTGCAACATATGCTTTATAAAAGTACCCAAGACAATCTTTATTTATAATTCGGATCGGCGTGTCGTCAATGCCCGATATTTGCAATGATTTGTAGCGCATAGCAGCAGCACAAAGCTGCAGAAGGAAACAGGATGAGAAGTGATTTTAACAGCAGGACCACGACACACAAATACCAAGCGCAATGCGCGGCTAATGCCGCTTAATAGTTTTTACATTTTTTGCAAGGGTCTTTGGTCTTCGTCCAGAACCAAAGCCAGAGTTTGTGCCGAAAGGGGGCTGAAGGGTCTAGGAAGGATGTGCTGACTTAACTGATTCGCTTTTTTTTTTCTATTTCTCGCTTTAAAGCCGAGCGCTATGTTCAATAGCTGGAAAATGTAAATCCCATTGAGTTGGTTCGCTTTTTTTATTTTATTTTTTTTTCGCTCTAATTTTATTTTTCCACTTTACTTTTTTGCTGCTAATGCTGCAACAAAGGGCGTGGCTGTGGTTGTGGCTGTGCATGTGCCTGGGCTCACCGCAGTTCGCCTCGCTTTGGCTGCAATTGTGGCCGAAATGTCTTCATCGGTTTGATTTTCAATTCGATTGCATTTAAGCCGTGTCCTGGCATAAGCTGCGTGGCGAACAAGAAAGCAGCCAGCGTTTCAATGTCGATAAAGAATTTATTATGCTTGCTTTATGGGCGACTACCTCGTACTCTCATCTATTTTTAGTCGATTTATATAGACAATTTATGACAAGATTTATGATAGCGTTGCCCCATTATGTGGCAACATCAACCAAGTGCCACAAACGTAATTCGTATATGCATAATAACTAGGCAGCAAGGAAAACAACTTGACGTCTGATAATTTTGTAGGGTAAATGAAGACACATTCGCATTTTGAGAAATGAGTTTAGAATAATATAATGTCTCACGTAAATGAACATGACTTCAGCAACAATGAAACATTAATCGAATAAGCAATTTCCCCTAATCTTATTTTATCTGTGGTAGAGCATTGAGGCTTCGTGCAGCTGGCTCTGTTGTTGTTCTTATTGGTTGCGCAGCAGCCACAAAGTTGACACCTCAGACAGCTACCTGCTCAAGCCCCACAAAGTACACAAGAACGACAACGACAACAACTTTGTCTGACAACAATCAATCAATATTTATGTCCTCAAGCATTTAGCAGCTAGCTGTCTGTGGGTGGGTGTGTGTGCGTGTGTGTGTGTATCCATAGTTACATATACTTATGTTTTTAGTATGTGTATGTGCATGTGTCTTGTCACAGCTGTGCTTTGTTCTTGTTATGGTTGCTTCGGCGCTGTTACAGCGCTCTAATGATAATGACAAGCGCAATAATACTCACAACACTGGCAGACCCTGCCCCACCCAATACCCTGCACACGCCGAGTTCGAGGTACTATCCCGTGGCCATTGTACGAACTTTACAGATTTATGTTTATCCGCTCAAGTGCCCACGCTTCAGCCGTAGCGGAGCTGTGTCTGTAGCCAGGGCATTGGCGCAGCTTTCGCTGTTGATTGATGTCCCGGCTAAGTTAATTACGTGACTCAAAAAGTGGAAGGACTTGAAAAAGTTTGCAGCTCGTTGCTAAGAGCCGCAATTAATTGATTATTTTTGTTGTGCCAAAATAAAGCACTTGACTGCGAAATAATAATAATAATCTGAGGTGCTGCCAGCATAATGATTATTATAATGATATTGTTTTCGTTGTTGTCTGTTGTCGGATAGGCGTTGGCAGAGATTACGCATTAAATAAATCATCCGAGCTGCTTGGCGAGATGTGCTCAGCAGCACTTCACAATACTTGAAGTCCTCAGTAAAGATTTATTGTAAATAAGCATTATTATCATAGTATCACGTATGCGCCATGCTCAACTTGACAGACATGCTCGCAATAGAAAAGGCCAGCACGAGACCAAGCCTGAAAAGGGCGGCCTAATCAGCTCCAGAAAGACTAGGCTGATACTCGGCTAACGCTAATAAACAAAATTACTCCGTGCGAGCCACGACGGCGCATCTGCGATATGTTTGCTTGGCACTTTCAGGAGTTATTCTCGAAAATGGGGCAGGGCGTGAAATGAAAATCTTCGTTAAGAGAATCTGATAAGTTAAAAAGTGTTCTAAATATTATATTTTAATTACTGCTTCTATTTAAAATATAACAAATTTATTATCAAGATAACATAAAGGTATTATCAATATTCTGGAGCACCCGAAATAGAAATCGCATGAGGTAAAAATCCCCAATTGAACTTATATATTGCACAGCAAAATGTTAGGTTACCTTTCAGAAAAAAATTGAACAAATTTTAAATATTCTTTCGCAACCTAGCTCTTTTTCTTCCCTTTAATCCAATTACCAGCTCTCCCGAGCAATAAACTCTGTTCCATTTTTTTTTAAATAATATTTTCCCAAAGTAATTATATTCGAATTACGCATCGACGGCTGTGAGGAGTTCAGTGCAATTATTAAATTTGTTTGAGTTTCTAATTTGTACATTTTAATAATTGATTAGTCAAAAAACACCGCTATGTGTGGCTGCAACAAGCAAATGACATGCCAACAAAGAAAAAAAATGTGATGTAGGGAATCTTTTCATTTGAGAAGCTCGCTATCATTGGACGGTTTACGTGTAGCTGTCACAGTTGCTAGCTCTCAAAGTCAAAACGTTTTAACCTTTTAAGCGCAACTGTAATGCGACTAAAGCTTCTGACTATGAATGGGCAAAAGTGGAATGAAAGGAGATGGCAGCTGACTAGGGGCAGCCGACGCCTGGCAGCTCCAAGCCACGAAGCGCGTGTTGCCAAGGACACGCTACTCTGGCAGCTGTTGCGAGAGTCCTGAATCTGATGCGGCTGCTGATGCTGATTTGCTTGCAACACATTGAGGTTACGCGAAGCGAAAGAAGCTGTACAAACGGGCAAACAGTCTGGCTGGCAGACAGACCCACAGTCCCACAGACCGACAGACAGATAGACAGATAGACAATTGAAAGTGTACACGCTAAGATATGAGTTCCTTGTGTGTGTGCGAGTGTGGGTGTGAGTGTGTGCTACTGCGGTGGTCTGGCAACATAGATATGTCTTAGATATGGCATGGTTTTGTGGCGTAGATACGCCAGATTCCATTTCTCAGTTACGCGGGTCACTCAACAAATGTGTCTGTGTGGGCTGAGAGGGGCGCCATTCATTGCAATAGTTGAGGCAAACGACAAAAAGACAAAGCGTTGCAAGTGCCACATTGAGAATGTAAAAGGAGTTGAAAGAGATGCTTGAACAAATAATATGTGATTAAGCTTTTGACTTCAAAAAAAGGAGAACAGATTAAATAGATTAACAGGAGTTACATTAAGCTTGAACTACTTAAGGGTGCAAAAAGCTTATGTTTTAAATTGGAACCAAGCGGCAAATATTAATTACTATTTCAGGGTCGTACACAAGCTTCAAAAGTTCAAAGCCAGCTCAAATATGTGTTCCGAAAGTTGAACTTTTCACTATTGATAACTAAAAAAAAGCTATTCAAAAGTGCAGCTACCATATAATTTTTCGCTTAGCATAAAATTGATAAATAATCGAGTCTTGCAACACTCAGAATATGTACACAAATACAAATTTCAACGCATTACATGGGTGTAGGAGCCTTTCAATTTCGGCTGTATAGTTGGTGATTACATTTTACTAGAGCTCATCTGGGGAGCCATCAGTGTTAATAAGAACAATAGCAAATGTGCTATTAAAGTTGTGTTTACTGTAGATGCGAGACTGAACCGCGTCGCAGGCAAATTACGCACATTATAAGCCTCATTTTCGTGGCATCAGGCAGGCAAACGGTCTGGCCGGGCCCCAAACTGCTCGTTAACCCAGGCCCAAGCAATGGCCCACACTTGACCCACACTGGCTGACCTTGAAGAACTTTTCAGCGCTGACCAGGCTTCATCTCATAAAAAACCGAAATAGAAACTGTGGCAACTGCCAACACTGTACAGAACTCCACTCAAACTTGACCTACTGCTGAAGCAATGAGGTCTTCTTGAGATCTGGGTTTTACCTGTTGCGAATGTTAAAAGCAGTCAAGCAGCTGCTTTGGGGCGTGGCACATAGTTCTAGGGGCTAGCTGGTGCAAATGTAATTTTTTTTTCCGTTTGGTTTAAAATGACATTCATAATTTTTATTTACTTTCCTTTTGGCGTAGCTTTTCGCGTTCTCTCATTAATATCGCCCGCTTTTTGGTTTTGTCGCCGTTGTACCACGTTTCGTATACTTAATGAGATTTCTCGCAGACATATTTGCAATTCGGCGGAAGCCGGCTCGTAAAAGTTGAAACCGCAAAATATTTTGTATTGCTTGGGCAGTCACAGGGACGGGTGCCTGGTCGCAGAGGGCAGAGGGCCGAGTGCCTGCCGGTTCAATTTAAAAAGTTTCCTTTTTTGGCCCGCGCACTGCAGTTAAACCCCCCAGCAACAAAAACTAATTACAATCTCAAGTTGTTTTTTCAACACTCAAAGCTGGCAGACGGCCCCCACTGAGCCAGTGTACCACTACCTTGAGCTCAAAGCGCACAGTGGGCGTGGCAAAATTATATTAAAAAATAAAAAAACGCAGCAACGCAGTTTGGGAGCAAGTTTAATTTTAGTTTTCCCAACTATTTTCTCAGCCGCATCGCATTGTTGTTTTTGTCTTCATTTTGCACTTGGCACTTTGTGCGCAGATTTATTATTGTTGATGCCCCTGCAGTAGCAGCTCCCCTGGCAGCCCGCCCCCCTTGTTGCAACGCCTTCATCTTATTCAAGTTGCAGCAATCCTCCTTTAACTCACCCACTTTTTTTCTTGCTCTCTCTATTTCTCTGTCTCTCCGCTGTGTTCGGGCTCTGCTCTTTGTTCAAATTGCACCTCTGTGATTATGGCCACTTGGCAAAGTTATCCTTGTCGTTGTTGTCCTTTTAGCCATTTAATGTGCAGCTACGTTCTAGAAATGCTTTGGGACCATTGGCTTGCTTTTTGCATTGCTCTAATGATGTTTGTCTGAAATGCACTTGACAACACCTTGACATTATTCATTAGGATTTGAATTGGTGCCAAGCGACACGCACTAAACTATTGTCCCATACACCTCTCCTACCTCTTCTGGAACTCTCCTGCACCCACTTGAAAACAGCAGCCTAATCTCTGTCATCAAGCTTGATAAGCGTTGGGGCTTTGGCATGGGCTTTTTCGGCTGTGTCCCGCTGCTCTGGCTCTGCGCCGCTGGAGATCTGTCCCTGGATTTGCTATTTTTCGGCTATTGGTATGAAATTTCAGGGGCTGCTGCGTCATTATTCAAAATGTCAATGTCATTTCTTTTCGGTTTTCTTTTTTGGGTCTCGTTTTTGTCGCTGAGGTCTCAACTCGAAGCTCTGACAGCTGCTGATTGTTGTTTGCCCTGCTAGTTCTACCAGCTCGCACTCTCGAAGTTTTCTAAAATTCGCTGACAGTTTTTGACACCCCGCTTCCCCTATTGACAAACTGCTGGCATATTTATGCATTTAACTTAAGTTCACATTTGAAATATACGTTAAGCATTAAAGGCTCTTAAAAGGCAACTAACAAAAAATTCTAATGGAAAACTTTATAGTCGCAAACAACTTGTAAAAATAATCACAAAACCTTGGCTTTCATAAAGGTTAATGCTCTAGCAGCAGGTATTTAAGCTATATAGCTTAATATAACATAATCTATTAGCTCGGTTTCGAAACTTTGTCTATGAGTATTGATAAAAATACTTCTGTATGCTGCAGACAAAACACAATAAGTTTCTTTAGAATTCCAAAATGATTTAATAATATCGAAATTCGTCTTAAAGTTGCACTAATATTAAATCAAAATTTCGGAATATTTTCATCGAATTTATTGATTTATTGAAATTTATTAAAAAAAAAAAAACAAATAATTGCTATTTATCTGGTAGTGTATTTACTATCCGGTGAGTTTTTCATTCAGTCTTCGAATGTTTTAAACGCCATTTACAATAAAATTTTTGGCCCACTTTATTTGCCAATAACCGCAATGGCCATCAATTTATTTAACAAATGACAAACACTTTACAAATCAAACAACAATAACTAATAGATGTTTTGTTTGTTATTTTGTGGGGCATTTATGTTGTTGTTGTTGCTGTTGATTGCTGTCATGTTATTTAGTACAAATGGTTTTCTCTTATCTACGGCACAGACAGCCGTGGTTACGGCCTGAAACCGACTTTATCAGAGGCCCAGCAGACGGCCGACTAATGCACTCTGTACAATAGTACCCGATTTATGTATTTGTATTTGTATATATGGAATGCATATTAATAACCGATTTGCGTGCTTAACGCATATAAGTCCCGGTTAAGGCAGCCTATTCTTGTGGCTCTTAGTTTCAGTATATATCTGTGCATGTGTTTGTGGTCGCATAATGGAAAATATGATTATCATTTATTAAGTCGTTAGCTTGCCTGCTTTCGCTTTTGCATGGCTAATGCAGTTGCTATTGCTACTTTGATGGCCCATTGTTGAGGTTTCCACGTTTCAAACCGCTGAAACGAAACCCAACAAAGAAATTTGGTTGAATACAACAAATTACACAAATTACTTATAAAAAGTGTGGTATAATGCTGATAACAATGGCTGCACTTTAACGACAGTAAATTAAATAAATTAATGTTGCCGGATATATTAACGGAAGCTATTAACAAAAACAATAATATACAAGTCTCTCAGCAAAGAAAATCAATGATTTAATTTGAAAATATTTTTCTCAAATCTATGACACCGGCCCCCCAATTGGTTCACATAATTAACAAAACAAAAAATCAGGTTTTCAATTACAAGGCTTTAAGCCAGAGGAACATAAAAGTAGCTACATATTTGTTGACCTCCAAGTTTTATTAAATTCAAATTTGCAACTCAAGAATTAGTGCGAGCATTCTGACCTAGTTGAAATTTCTGTTTTGTTATACTGCTTTTCAAATAATTCAAATAAAATAATCCTACTGATACTGTTAAGAAGAGATACACTCATGTTTGCAAGGATGATAATTCTTTTTTTCAGCAATTACTTATTTTGTATCGTCATTATGATAATTATAAGCTATCTTCACTGATTAAATCAAGCTTAAATTAAACAAAAATATATTAAAAGACAGCTCTACCACATGTGATTGGCATGGCATTGAACAGCAGTCGATGTGTTTTGTCAACAATCATTCAGCTCCAGGACAAATCAAATTGAAAACTTGAATCCCAATTCAGTTTAGAGCGTAAAGCAAACGTATGGCTCCCAGCGGGATAGGCGCTTTTAGGGTGGTGGCATCTGGATAGCATGTTGCAGTTGCTATTGGAATGCTTGCCGTGCTATTAACCGCTCAAATGTCGAACTGTCAATTGCGCAATAATTTGCAATGATACGCAACACACTGTGGAAAGCACACACACTCAGCAGCCACATACGCACACACCTCAATCAGAGGTCCAGCCGCATCCAATGGGTTGGAATTACACGCAATAAGCGTGCTACACGAACTGCGCTTTCGCGTTTCCTCTATAGTCAACATAGCACAGGGCATGGTCAAAAGAGCCATTCCTCTCAGTTATTTGGATGCTAAAGCTATGTCACAAAGCCATATGAAAATCTGGCAACTATTGTACATGCTTTAGCTGGACTTCGACTTTGGCAAAAAAAAAAAAAAACGATTGTGAAACCTTTGTTCAAATGAAATGATTCCGAAATCAGTTTGGAAATTATTCCTAACTTCTGGATGAGTCGTGAAAACCCAGAGTCGTGCCGGGAAATGCTATAAGGAAAATTTTCATAATGTTACCGCCAGTGTAAAATTGGTTTTACCTTCTATCTGTTTTTTTCTGTTGCTTGTGCAATGCACGTTAGTTTTTATGGGGTGTGGTAGGCCTCGGGCTCCTGCTCTACGTCTAAGTCCGTATCTACTGACGTCAGCTGTTTACCATTTAGGAAATGAGCCATAAAGTGGAGCTGAGCCGTTTGCTGTCTCTCTGCTGGAAATTGGCTCAGTCAACTGCACTTTAACCCAAGTATGCACTCAATTGCAGTAAGGGTGAGGGTGTGAGTATGAGTGCTGTGTCAGTGTGGGTGTTATTGTGGGTGTAGGTGTTGTCTTTGCATGCATAAGCAGCCATTTAGTGTTGTTATGCTTATTATATGTGCATACATACATACATACAAACGAGTAACGGAGCAGACGGCGGCTGTCAACTGCCACTGCCGTCGTTAGGCCCATTTTGAGCAGTCTACCTAAGTGCCGAGATGTCTGAACCCACGTACACACTCACACAAAGCTATATACGGCACAACAACCTACACAATATCAACGTCAGCTGGGGCAATTTCCATTTTTGTGTGGAGCTCATAAACCTTCAACTTTAGCTACAGAACAGCAAGGACATATGCAGGTGTCTATGTCTATGTTGACGCCAACGTCAGCGTTAACGTGAGCGTTAACGTCAACGTCGCCTACATATTTTTATGTGAATTTATGTATTTGATTAGTGCAGTGTCTAAGTTATATATGCATTTCAGCTTTGACTTTCATTTTCTCACATTTTAATAAATTAAACGCAATAGCAGAAGGCGGCAATAGTAGCAGTTCCAAGAAACAGAAACCGGCCAGAAAAGCCGAATATCACAATCCAATCCAATCAATGTGAAATGCGCCTCATATAATATATTTTGTGATTGGGTTCTTGGTTTTTGGGGGCCCTTTTTATTAATTTATTTCAATAAATCTTGGATGTTCACTTTAGCTTACGTTTTTATTCAGTTTATATTGTTTTCGAAATTTTTTCAATTTATAATAATTGTATAAACACCCAAATATTCTAATACTCTAAAAAAATATTTAATGAATCACTGAGCATCAAAAAACTTAATAGAGTTCAACTAATTTTATATTAGCCAATTAAAATATACAATTGTTGTTTGTTATACCCTTGCAGAGGGTTTTATAATTTGTTCATGTGTAACACATAGAAGAGACATTTCCGATCATCATAAGTATAAATTTTTCGATCAGTGAAAACTGCAAAATAGCCGTCATACATATATCTGCTATAGGAAGAATCAGTCAAAAGATCAAATCTTGACAACATTCGGCATCCATTAAATATAGATAAGCAATATTTTATCAACATCGTACTACTCTGTTATATAGGACTTTAGGCTGAATTGGTTAAAAATAGTTGTATGAAAAGATTTTTTGTTCTTATGATATTTCCATCAAAATTAGTAATTAGGATCCTAACTATTTGACTATCATATATGCAAAATCCTGTGCTAAATCTTAATAGGAGTATTTGACTTGCCATGTGCCAATGACAGTCGTTCCGTCTTGTTTTATTTTCTATGAGTTTTCATTTTGTGGAACTGATTTGTTGTATTTCCAATTTACTGGTATCATAACGGCAAGTAGTAGCCCCAGGGCTCTATTTTATTTATATGCTCGTATAATTGCACGCCTACTTTGAGCTCTAACTCAGTGTCGTTCTCAATTCAAAGCCGCACCCAGCACGCACCGATTTCGCACTCTGACTAACACACACATATACATCCATTCACACATATTTATTGCCTGCATGCAGGCTGTCACATTTACATATGTGCCGCGACTTATGTTTTGTTCCTGTTTTGTATAGTCGGAGCGCTGCAAAATATGCTATGAAAAATGAAATTTATGCAATTCAGCTAATTTAACCATGCAAATGCTGGATATTAACTATTTATGCGGCTTTCCAACAGCCAAATTTATTGGACTCTTAGTGCTACTTTCCTATGGTCTGAAAAGCAAAGCTGCAACTCTTTATTTTTATTACCGTTTCCATTGTTCAGAGTAGAGGCTTATCTGACAAATCTAGCTTAAATTTGTAATCAGCTTTGCGTTCTTTTACTTAAAGTTTATTTATATGATTCATACAACTTTAATTGCCTTGAGCTAGAGTTTTGTTTTTTTGTTTCTTCTTATATTCATTTTCTTTTGCGTTTTCATTTGATGCTTATTTCTGCCAGGATACATGGCAGCAGCACAATAAATAGTTTATTTAGGGATTATGCCTTGCTGATGAATAGCTGCCCAATCGTACTCACGCAGAGCAGGCACTGCAGGAATTTTCAGGGGCTGGCATTTTAGCAGAGCTGGCAGAGTGCGTCGAAATGAAGGAATGAAAATTCATTGTTTTTGTGCCCCAAGTGTTGTGTCGCAAGTGAAAAAGTGTCGCATTTTGATTACGTTTTTCCTTACATTAAACAGCGTCTGAGCTTTTCGCCACGCTTGGTTGCCTAGCTAGCAAGCCACGCCCCCTGCGTCAGCTGAACAACAGCCTTCCACTTGACTCTTTT